TGGGCCTTGAGATCTGAGTTTTGTCCCCTGGGCCTCACATGTCTCTCCAAAGTTAGTTTGGCTTCTCAACCTGGCAGGTGCCTCCATCTGAGCTGGCCTCACTCGGAAGGCAGCCGGATGTGCCACGCTCGTGTCTCGGGTCTCCTGCCTGACTTTGGTCCCGCCCTGCTGAGCTCCTCCCATTGCCATGTAAAGCTGGGAACCACAGAGGTGAAGCAGCCCTTGCCTCTTCCAGAAAAGAGTCACCCCTGAAGCCTTAGCCAGTGGTTCTCACCCGATAGATGTTACACTATTACATTAAATATATGTTTGTAATGTTCCCTTTGCTGTTCTGAAAAAAAAAATTCACAGATAATCTAGAATTTTAGAAAATAACACAATATCCTATTATGTAAAGAATAAATGGGAAGTAATTTGTATTAAACTATTACGTATTTCGCTCTGGAGACCCTCAGTCGTGATTGCCCCAGACGTGTAGTGAAGCCGGCGGGCGCTTGTTCTACTCACAGTAGTAAATCTGGTGTCAGACAGATATGACATTACTCAAGGAGTATTTATTGTTCATGCTTTATATTTAACATTTTGAAATAAAGGTTAAATGAGCATATTTCTGTGCATACATAAGTAGAACAGATGTGAAGCTTCGAACGAACGTAAACTGGCACAGGTGTGTTACATTGTTGACTCAAATACTGGCAGCAGTGTTGTTATTGTTGACAAAAATATTTTGAAATGATGAACAATTCTTGGTATAGTCCTCAAGCCCTCTTCTCTGGAGCCTCTGTTGTCTGTCCAGTTAGACCCCCTTCTGGTGATGATGCACATTGTTAAGATTGCAGGTGACTTTTGTAATTACCCTGGCAGAGTCCTGTTGTGTGTTAATATTCTCTGGTTGTGTGGTCCAACATGGCGTCCACCAGCCACAGATGGTTAGTGAGGGTTTGAAATGTAGCAACTGAGAAACTAAAATTGTTATTTTATTTTATTCACAATTAAAAACTGAACCAGTGTCAACTATTCTGCTGACCACAATTTGATTGTTTTGGTAGGGCTGGACTTCGTTTTATTCTATTTATTTATTTATTTATTTGTTATGCAGTTTGGGGCTGGGGCCCCACCACCTCTGGCATATGGGGCCAGCGCCCTACTCCTTTGCACCACAGGTGCCACCCTGGATTTCACTTTAAACTACGGAACAGCTATTCATGCTGGACTTCAGTCGTGTGTCCAGCTAGTGTGTGATTCTAACCCAAATATTACCATCCAGTTCAGTGGTTCTCAACCTGTGGGTCGTGACCCACAGGAACTGTATTAAAGGGTCACAGCATTAGGAAGGTTGAGAACCACTGATCTAGTTGATGTCAATGGCCTGATTCAATGGGAATAATTTCATGGATGCATTTATTTAATGTTATAAGTTCATTGAAAAATTTATGCAGATAATACAAGTTACATGTTACCTATTTCTTTCTATATTTTAAAATGTGGCTTCTAAAACTTTTAAATTATGAAAGTGTTCATGTTGTATTTCTGTTAGTCCCATTCTATAGAGTTTATGACACTAGTTCTAAGTAAATATTGATCCGATCCAATTTTTTTTATCATATCTGATTTGAGTGGTTCTGTGGATGAAAGCAGTTTAATCAAGGCAGCCGCAGTGTCGTCACATGGTGGAAGGCAGTAAATATTTGATGAATGAATAAATTTGGATGAAGCAGAAACACCTGAAAGCACATTGATTATGTTAATCTGCGGGTCATACGGTTGAAATTGAAGAAGGCCCTTGTGTGTGCCGGAAACAAGCACCTCTAAAACCTTAGCAGATGAAATAGCGTCATTAAAATAAATATTTGTAATGCTCCCTTTGCTTTACTGAAAAAAAAAATCACAGATAATCTAAAAATTTAGAAAATAATACAGTATCCTGTGATGTAAAGAATAAATAGCTGAAAAGTAATTTGTAACAGAAAAATATGTTTTCAACCTGAAAACGCTCAGCTGTGAGCACACTAACCGCGTGGCTGGCAGGTGCTTCTGCGTCTGATGAGTCAATGTGGATGCCAGAGATGTGATGCCGTGCTCGGGTCACTGTGGACACTTTTTCCTTATATTTCACCTTTTGAGGTAGCGGCTAAGTGAGCACATTGGTGGGTGTCCGTGCGCAGAGTCAGTGCCAGTGTGGGGGCTGCGCAGGTGGACCGACCAGCTGTGTTGCCTTTGTTGACTCAGACACCAGAAGCAGGGTTATCTCTGATGACGGGAAATTTCCAAGTGGTGAACAAATCTTGGTAAATTTCCGAAACAAACAAAGCACAATCTTCCTTCAGTTTACACGGGAGTTGCAGTCCTGGGAAATTCAATATATATTAAAACCACGCACAATACCCTTTTTAAAAGGTGTAAAACAGAAGTTAGGAGCTAGGCTCAGGTAACCATACAGATTTTTACCCACATTAGTTTCTGGGGGAGGTGTTTGGAATTCGTGTGGGACGGTCCCCTTCATTGCAGGACATCAGCAGATTTGTCCCTTGCCCAGTAAATCCCAGTAGCACCCCCTTCCCCAGTCATGGTGACAATCAATCTCTCCATGCCCAACAAATTTTCCAATGTCTCCCAAGGAGGCGTCCTAGCTGAGAACCTGCGCTGAGTTCATCTTAAGACAGAGCTGCCTCCCCCACACCTGCTCTTCCTCCCAAGTTCTGTGTAAACCCCCCAGGGGGACTGGGGACTCCAGCAAGTCACTCAGGAGGATTCCAAACTTGTATCATTGCATTGTCTTTATATAAATTATTATCATCATTTTTAACATCTTACCATCTTCCAAAAATGATGTTTTGGTGAATTTAAAGAGATATACTCACAAACAAGAAAAAAATCTGGTGGGGAAATGAAAACAGATGGGGGGTGAACCTAATACCCCAAACACTCCCAAGACTTGCACACTCACGAAAGGTGAGAAGTAACTGGGTCGTCAATTTAAAGATTTTGATAATGTACACAATTCTATTGTTTAGGAGATAAAAAGGAATGAAGTCATCCTTCAGTAACTGCAGGGGTGAGGTGCAGCAGGGATGGGTTCCAGGAACCCTGCAGACAGCAAAATTTCTGGATGCCCAAATCCTTTTTCTTTTTTTGAGACAGAGCCTCAAGCTGTTGCCCTGGGTAGAGTACCGTGGCATCACAGCTCACAGCAACCTCCAACTCCTGGGCTTAAGCGATTCTCTTGCCTCAGCCTCCCAAGTAGCTGGGACTACAGGTGCCTGCCACGACGCCCAGCTATTTTTTGGTTGCAGCTGTCGTTGTTTGGCAGGCCCGGGCTGGATTTGAACCCACCAGCTCAGGTATATGTGGCTGGCACCTCAGCCACTTGAGCCACAGGCACCAAGCTGATTCCCAATTCCCTTCTGTAAAACAGAATAGTGTCTGCGCCGAACCTCTCTGCACATCCTCCCCACACAGAGTAGCCGTGCTGGGTGCAGACAAGAGCTTTCCCCAACTCAGCCCCTCGCCCTAGCTGGCCCCCAAGCATGTCGACATCCCTTTCTGCCTCTTAAACAATATGTGTCTGTTCGGTGCTCCAAATATGCCACACGACATGGCTCACCATGATTAAAATGCTGATTACTAAG